CTGCCTGGTCACCCCTAACTGCCCCCCCCCCCCCCCCACCAGCCTGGTCACCCCTTACTGCTTCCCCTGCTGGCCTGGTCGCCCCCAACTGCACACCACCACCCCCCTGCCAGCCTGGTCGCCCCTTACTGCCTCCCCTCCCCCACCGGCCTGGTCGCCCCATGCAGCTTGCTGGTCAGTCATTTGGTCATCCCTCACTAACTCCCCTGCCGGCCTGGTTGTAGTCAGCCATCTTGTGAGGTCGTGAGGTTAATCTGCATATTACCTCTATTCTATAGGAGGACTAGAGACCCGGTGATCAGGGCCTATGGGGGCATCTCACCCAGTCCCAATTGGGGCCTACCAGATGGGGGGAGGGACTACAGGAGGTTTGCCAGCCAGGGGGGCATTGGCTGGCTGTGGGAACGCACTTGCCACCAGGGGGCAACTCCTGCATTGAGCGTCTGCCCCCTGGTGGTCAGTGCACATCATAGTGACTGGTCGACCAGTCATTCCAGTCGTTCAGTCATAATGGTCGCTTCGGTTTTTATATGTATACATATATATATTTTTTTAATTCAGAAAGGAAAGGAGGGGGAGAGAGATAGAAACATCATTGATCAATTGCCTCCTGCACGCCCCCTACTGGGGATTGAGCCCACAACCCTGGGTATATGCCCTGGCCAGGAATCAAACCTTAACGTTTTAGTTCATAGGTTGATGCTCAACCACTGGTCCACACTGGCCAGGCAACTTTATGTCTTTCACTCAGCTTCTTCAAGATTGATTTGGTTTGTAAAAAAGAAGAAATATAGTAATCCTAGCAAAATAGCACTTGTCAAGCCTATAATGCTTTTTTCCTAGTGAATGGAGAAAGAGACAAGTATCGTAAATGAAAGCACATACCTTCCCAGCTTTCTCAGGAGAAGCCTCACTAAGCCTAATGTCCCTGGACGGGAGATTGGCTGGTAGCAGACTGGCTGACATATCTCTATTTCTGTCACTTGGAGGCCAACTTCTTGCTGGTACGCCAGAGTTCTTCTCCATTGTAGCCATCTGGAGACTCACTAAATAGAAGACAGTGGAAAAAAAGCAGAACTGCCAGCAAGTTACTAATATCCTGAATTCCAAGTAGAGAATCAAAAACGTAACTGGTATTTTAAAACTATATTAACAGTATTGTTTTTGCTTTCAGGATTATTGCATGGAGCTTTTAGTGTCTTCTTATTCAACACTGAAAATAAGCTCCTGCTACAGCAGAGATCAGATGCTAAAATTACCTTTCCAGGTTAGTGTGCCCAGTCGATGTACAGTATTTTGTTGGGAATATAATTTGACTTTGTCATTTGGAACTTTCTGGTTAGCCATTGTCAAAAAGGGAAATCCTGTGAATGACATAATTTCATATTCTACATAAAAGAAGCTTATACAATGAGTGCAACCTAATAAAATAGCAGTAAAGGATAAAAACTGCTAGCTGTATGTGTGTGTATTTTTAAATCTGTATCTTATATTTTGATCTTTTTTGTTAAAAAGGCATTAATAAAGAACTTATCTATACATGTCTGTTTCACAAAATGATGACTGATAGTCCATTATAACTGATTTAGAAATCAATTTTCAAGAATCATTTGATTCATTTTTCTATTAGTTTTAAAACGTTGGGTTGTTTTGAACTCTTAGACCTACTTTGAGCAAAAGTTAATCTACAGCTATATTAACATGTTCCAGGTTGTTTTACCAATACTTGTTGTAGTCATCCCTTAAGTAACCCAGGAGAGCTTGAAGAGAATGATGCAATTGGAGTTAGGCGAGCAGCACAGAGGCGTTTAAAGGCTGAATTGGGAATTCCCATGGAACAGGTAACTAAATTGATTGCATAACCAACCCCTACAAGGTGAAATCTAAACATACATTAAAACATTTTTCATTAAAATTTGAAACCCAAGTGTAGGTTTCTGTTTTGTAACCTCTTTATAGTTATTGGCCCCCCAAAAAAAACCTGGAATAAAGAATATTGAAATTTTCATTTTTTAAAAATTTTTTAAAAAATAAATCTTTATAGTTCAGATTAT